GTAAGCCCTGGAAGGCAAGGTCCTGTGCGGTGTCACCACAAGCACCACCAGCTGTGTTAGTGCCATTGGAATAATAAATTCAATATGGTGGTGAAAAAAAAGAATGAAGAAGCGGAACTCCTAGTGAAAAATGGGGAAGTCAAGACTGATACAGTGCAAAGCAAACGTTTATGTAAAATGTGGCAAAAAAAAAAAAAAAAAAAAGCAGAAGAGCTACCTTAGCTGCACAGTGGTGCTGCAAGACCAGATGTATCCATATTTATAGGGGCAAACTGCTTTGTTGATTTGTGTGGGCTAGGCCAGTCAGGGTTGTAGCCTCTGTTTCTGGGACAGGGACAAGGTCAGTTAGAGGTTTCTTAAGCATGGGTATCATTTTCATAAGAACAAAGTAGGGTACATTTTTTTTAAGTACATGGTACACAGCAAAACAGTGTAAAGAAACTCCACTATTATGATCATTCATAGTTCTCCATTTACCCACCAAGGACCAGATACTAATTCCACTAGATAGGGGTGTGTGTGTGTGTGTGTGTGTGTGTGTGTTTGTGTTTGCTTTATAGATGCATTTTACAAACACGATAGCATTCATCATAAAGAATTTATATAAAATAGATTTCTAGTACACATTTATAATCCGTAAAGTTTATGCTCTTTGTGGGGAATTGGTACATGTACATAATATATTGTAATTTCTTTTTTTTAATCCAACATCCATGTCTTGATTTTCCTTTTCTTAAACACATGTTTTCTTTTCTTTTTTTTTTTAACATTTATTTATTTTGTGTGTGTGTGTGTGTGTGTGTGTGTGTGGCCTGCTCAGCCCACCAGGGGGCGGGGCTGGCTGGCATATGGTGCTGGGGGATCCAACCGCAGTCCCTGTGCTTTGCCAAGCTTGTTCCAAGTAGGTGCTTTAGACCACTGAGCCATCTCTCCAGCCCCCACATGTTTTCAATACATAAAGTTTACATTCCTTGTGTGGATTTGGTACATATACATAATACATGGGGGGTTTTCTGGTGAAGGAAGGTCTCACCATGTAGCTCAGGCTGGCCTTAAACTCACTATGTAACCCAGGCTGACCTCAGATTGGCAGCAATCCTCTTCCTCAATCTCCTGAGTGCTGGGACTACAGGAGGGCACCACCACACTTGATTACATAATGCACCTTAATTCCTTAAATTTTCTTTTTGGTTTTATGCAACAAGGTCTTGCTAGTTCAGGCTGGACTTGAACTTACTGTGTAGACTAAGATGGCCTCACGCTTGCAGTGCTCCTCCTCTCTTAGCTTCCTGCATGCTGGAATCACAAGGGTGTGCCATCACACCTGCCCTTATTTCTTTTTTAAGTCCATTTTCCCTCTCTTTCCTTTTCCCTCCATCTCTTGATCCTTTTCTGCCTTTAGAAAAATCTGTCTCTTTATTTTCTGTTATCTATTATTTTGTTCTTCATAAGAGAAACCATGTGATGTTTAAGTTTTTGTGTCTGATTTATTTCACTTAACATTATGGTCTCAAAGTGCATCCATTTTCCTACAAATGACTCGGATTTATCTTTCTTTATGGAAGAATACTACTCCATTATATATAAAAACCACATCTTCCCATCCATTCATCTGCTGATAGCTATACAGGCTGCTTCTAAGATTTAGCTACTGTGAATTGTGCTGCTATAAACATGTATATGCATGTATCATTGTCAAGTATTTTAAATTTTTTCATATTTTTTTGTTTTATTCAAGGCATTTTAATTAACATTGCCATATTACAAAGAAAAAATACTTAAACAGGATTATGAAAGGTTTTTTTTTTTTTAAAGTATTTAGGACAGGGCGTACAGGGTCTACAAGGCCTCACTACATAGATTAGACTCATAGTGATCCTCCTGTTTTCAGCCTTCCAAGTGCTGGGATTACAGGTGCACACTACCATGCCCAGTCTCAATTACCATCTCTGTGCACCCTGGGGGTGGAGCTGGCCAGGCAGGCCAGAATCAAACCCAGGTGGCTGCGCTCTGCCTAAGCAGGCACTTTAGTTCCCTGGGCTATCTGGCTGGCAATCATGAAAATTTTTATTAATCATCAAAATCTGGTTTATAGCTGTTGTCCGCATTCAGAAATATGGCATTACTAATCCTAACAAAAATATCAGTTCTCTTTCTGTTTTGGCTTGAGGGGTTTTTTTTTTTTTTCCCGCCGCTTTGTTTTGGTGCTAGGGATTGAACCCAGAGCCTTGTACTGTATTAGTAAATGTGTCCTCTGCCTCTGAGCTATAGCCTAGCCTTAAACAGTTCTAATGTAGATGACTGCAAAGGAGTTCATAAAATTGTTTTAGGCAAATGCTGAATTAGGGATATGGGACATTTTAGTCTTAAGCAGGTTATTTCTTTGCTTCTTAAATCTACAAGCTAATAGTAAAATATATATATATGTATTGTATGTAGTCAGTAGATATTCTGTTTTGGGAAGAAGCCTATTGCAGAGATTTAAGATATTTTTCCTTTTTTTTCTTTGGAAAATTTTAATAAAATCTTGATTCTTTCTTCAGTACTTGTTATAAATGTACTGATGCTAACTGTTCCTAGAGTTCTGAGATTTTTAAATACCATTCAATTGTTTGTAGCTGTAATAAGACACAGTCTCCCTCTAGTATGACCATGGTTCTAGTGTTTCTACGGTAGCACGTTCACCAAAGCCTCATCCTGTTTGCAGTGTTTGAATTCTAATAATTGTTTTCATCAATAGTGAAAAATGCAAAATAAAACAAAACAAAATCCACTTTTTCTTTTTTCAGATTAGCTTTTCCGGTTCCCTACTCTATTCAGTGTCAGCCTTTAGAAACTTTCATGAGAAATCTTCTGTGTTTAAAGTCCCCAAGTGTGTTCTCTGAGATATGGTGAGTATTGACTTCACATAAAATGACTTTCCACAAATGATACATCTATAGAGTTTCCCCTCTGTGTGTATCTTATGATGTGAAATGATCTTTGACTTCACACAGAATGGCTTCCCACACTCATTGAATTCATAGTGCTTTTGTTTTATATGAGTTTTCTAACTAACAATCAAGGCTGTATTCTGACAGAACATTGTTCCACATTCAATGCACTGATAAGGGTTCTCTCCTGTGTGTCTTCTCTGATGCTCTATGAAACATGAGTAGTAGCAAAAAAATTTTCCACATTCAATATATTCATAGGGTTTCTCACCTCTGTGAGTTCTTAGATTTTTGTGAGGGTGGACTTCTCAAAAAGGATTTCCTGCATTCATTACATTCATAAATTGTTTCCCCTATATGAGTTCTTTGAGGTCTGAATTTCTGAGAAAAGCTTTCCTACATTAACATTATTCAGGGGTTGGGGAGATGGCTCAGTGGAATAAGCACTTGCCTGATAAACACAAGGGCCTGAGTTCAAACCCCGGTTCCACCAAAAAAAAAAAAAAAAAAAAAAAGTATTCACAGGGTTTCTTCCCTGTGTGTATTTTCAGATGGGCAGTATGGATTGATTTAAATGAGAATGCTTTCTCACATTTATGATATTCATATGGTTTTTCCAGTGCATATTCTCCAATTTTGAGAAAGGGTTGACTTTTCACTGAAAGATTTCCCACATTCATGGCATCCATAAAATTTGTCCAAAAAAAGAGATATCTCCCATGTGACTTCTCTGATGCTTAATGAGATCAGAATTCTTACAGAAGATTTTCCCACATTCCTGCAATTTATAGTATTTCCCCATGTATGTTCTCTGATGTCTTCTAAGGGCTGACTTCTGGTTGAATATTTTCCCACATTCATGACATTTATAGGGTTCTGTGTATATTCTCTGTTGTACACCATGGAATAACTTTTTACTGAAAAGGGTCCCATATTCATTATATTCAGTGATACTGTCAATTGAATAGATCTATTAGTTGGAATGAAATTTGATTTCTGGCTAAAAAGGTAAGCACTCTGATGTTCAGTGAGAATGGATTCCTCAAGGAAATGTTTTCTACATTCACTAAACTCGGAACACTTCTCTCTGGGATGCACTTTTTGGTGAGCAGATACAAGTGACATCTTTCCCATGTTCAGTATATTTACAGGTTTTTCTGTCTTATGTAAGGTCTCTTATGTATAAAGAAGAGTGAACTCTCATGGAAAGATTTTCCACAACCACTTGCTCCTAAATTTGAATTTTTCTGATGTTGAACAAGGTCTTCATTAAGACTGAAATGCTTTCATTTTCATTATACCCATAAGGTTTCTCTTCAGAGTGAACTCTTCCACACTCATCTTCATAAAGCCATCTTCTACCTTTGTTACTTTTCAAATTTCTTTCTAAAATAGTCTGTACTGGTATCAGTTAATTCCTGGTGCTCTGGCAGAATCTTTCTCCAATATCCACAGCTCCTGTCCTTGCTCCAGCTGGAGAATCACCTCTCGTTTAGGAGTGAGGTGCCCTGCCCTGTGATCATTTTCCACTGGTGTTTGAAGAACACAAAATACTGTGAGACTATGGTTGTGTGGGTCTCCCGCTTACCACATCAGGCTTAGCTTACCTCCACAGCTATGGCTGCTGTGCTGAAGGTGAAGGTGCTGCCCTCCCAGGTCCTATGCTTTGTCCCTGCCCAGGAGAGTCCACTTCAGCCTGCAGAGTAACGCCTGGCCTGGATCCTGGCATCGTGCACGTGTGGGCAACATCATGCAGAAACATTCTGGGAGAGCAACACTGCCCTGTATCCAGCCTGATTCTACACCCACTGACTATAAGGTAGTTTTCAATTGAAACTTAAAACATAAAGGAATTGGAGTGGGAGTGAATTGCTGAAAATACTATGCTTTCCTTCAAAGGCTGTGTGCTTTCCCTCTGCTCCATACTGGTTGATTTCCCCTGTTCCACTCAGAGTTGGCGGGCTGCACCTAGCAAAATACATTGGTGTTCCAATTCCATCTCACACACTCCCCAAAGCCATTGGCCAATCCGGCATCCTTTTCCAGGAGTGCTGGGCCACTCTTCTGGAGCTCTAGGTGGAGTCACCAGTGCAGGACAGTGTGGGAGTGGAAGTTCATGCGCAAGGAGTTCAGAGAAAGGAGACACATTTCGTCCCTTCACCGATTTTTTTTTGCCCCCAGGCAGGTTGCAGATTGTGACAAAATGAGGGGAATCTCTCATGGTTACAGATTGGATTAGTCACAAAGTTACCAAATCAAGAATTCCAGGTAAAGTGTTTCAGCCTTCACCTGAAGATCATGAAGAGTGTGGTGGGGATCCACAGCACCTTCATAAACTGCACGTTGTTACCAGAATGAAAAGTACGATAAGACGACCATATTAGGAAAAAGATGTAATCGAGATGCTTGGATTAGAAAAAGCATGCACTCCTCAAGTTCATAAGAACATCCCTTCAGTAAATGCAAAGCTGAAAGTGGTTAAGCATCTCATAAGAATCCAGCCCCTGAAGCTGCCACAGGACTTCCTACAGAAGAGAACATGGGTAACATGTGCCTCAAGAGTACCGGGGAGATAGTAGTGCAGCGGCAGCTGAAGCCTGTGGACTCCTGTAAGCCCAGTACTCAAGGGGCGAAGGCAGAAGAATCCTTGCAAGTTCAAGGACAGACCCAGGCTATATAGTTCAAGACCAGCCTAATAACAGAGTAAGACCTTGACTGATAAAAAAGAAGGTAAAAAAAAAAAAAAAAAAAACCCTGTGGAGCAGGAAACAAGTCCTGATGCCACAGAGCTTCATATTTTAAAAATGAAAATTATATATAAAGTTGTGGGGAAGCTGGGCATGGTGGTGCATGCCTGTAATCCCAGCTCTCAGGAGGCTGAGGCAGGAGGATTGCTGTGAGTTTGAGGCCAGACTGGACTACATGTTGGATTTGAAGCCAGCTTAAGCTAAAAAGCGAGACCCTATCTCAAAAAAAAAAAAAAAAAAAAAGTAATGTTGGTGAGAAGATGTTTTCATTAAAATATTTTCAGTTTCAATCATTTTTAGTGAATAAACCTACTATGAGCCTTCCTCACTATAAAAAAACCATAAAGGAATTTGTCATTTTGATACATGTTAGTGACATAAGATCTCAAAATGATATAGGGAAACATTATAACTCCCAACTTGCTAATGTCCCATACCCAAAATTGAGCAGTGAATTCTGAGGAATGAAGGTTAAGAGTAGGAAATTTTATTGAGGGAGAGACATCTCATAAAAGAGACAGGAGGGGACTCAGAAAGTGGCTTGCCAACGAGCCCACTTTTCATAGGAAGTTCTATGAAGAAAAATCATGAGGTGGGTACAAAATTAGGAGGAGGATACAACAGGAGACAAAACTATGATCAACCAATAAGACTGCAAATATAGTCACTTAGGTAATATAGACCAATGGGAAAGCAAGTCAGGTAGCAAGTAATCATGGAAAGAACAAGGACATTTTTAGGAAAGGTGGCTCAAGAGGTCCTGGTCACCAACTAGGGTGACTAATGCCTATTTGGAATATGGATTGTTATTGTTAATCCCTTGGAGAGGTATGAAGGTATAGTCATTCCATCATTATCTTGAAGCCTGACCTTCAACAAATCGTCTCCAGCCATAGTTGTAACGTTGCTTATCTTCTGCTCTGACTCCTTTGAAGGCCTAGCCTTGTCCGCCTGCCTATTATATTCTACCTAACTTAGCTGTCCATAGTACTAGGATACATCATTAAAAAGAAATGTATGTTTTTAAAAATCAGAATGAAATAGAAAACTAAAAACTCTGTTTCATTGCACTAAACAGTTACATTAGTATGTTTATAAAAGGAATTATTTCTAAAATGTTCATATTTTAATGTCAACTATCACCTGTGTTCAAAGAGACAACAGAAAAATATCCAAAGAATTAAATGTGAAATGTTTATGATAAGCTCTTTTTTCCCTAGCCTTAGTTTTCTTCTTACTCCAGAATCTAAACATTTGAATCTAAACTGAGGCAGGAGGATTGTTACGAGTTCAAGACCAGCCCGGGCTACAAATTGAACTCAAGGCCAGCTTGAATTGCACAGTGAGACCCTGTCTCAAAAAAAAAAAAAAAAAAAAAAAAGTATTCACAGG